TTAATCAGATTGAAATAATGAAACATCATGTGCAAAAACATTTAGAATTCATAATCTAGTATTGCTCGGAAGTAACAGCTGAACTCTTGTTGGTTGCCATAGCAAAACGTGTGAAACCAACACTAGAAGTAAATCCCCTGTTGTATCATTTGCTCATTTCATTTTGGCTTTGATGCAAGTTCCAAGCAGAAGTGCCAAATTCTTAAAACAATGCTTTCAAATACAGCGCATATCTATTGGAACATATGTCTGTCATCTGATTCTTTCTGGACCAGACCCTTGCGATCCGATTATGCCTAAAATGAAAACAAAACAGTTAGGGCATTTGCAGGCTTGTACTGGGCTGAGACCCAAACAAATCTGGATCTCATTGGTCAGCAAGTTCTTCAGGGGGTGGGGGCAAAATATTCCAGGGTTTGCAAGAGGAAGATTAAAGATGCTGACAGGTGGGCCAAAGGAATATGATGGAACAGTGCTACTATTTCCACCACACCAACTTAAATAACTGCTGAAAGTCTATTGGCACTTTACTGACCAGCTCACAGCTGTCCTTAAGTGGATTCCTAGTTAAACGCTCAAACTGTGGTAGAAATAGGTGGAGAATGGGAACTCAAGTTCCTCCATTCATATCAGAACATCACTTTGCCATCCCAGTGTTTGCTTAGGACCATGATTTACATATTTAAAGAGTGTGATGTCCGTTTTAGATTGGCAGACGAGAGAACTCAAAGTCACCCAAGCCACAATGGCCTTTAAGACATGTCTCCATTCAGATTTGGCATGACACATCATGACATGTAATGTGAATGCCTAAAGCCTTTCTTCCAACAGTGAAATGGAGTGCTGTAAATTGAATTTCTCCAATTTGTTCTTAGGATTAATTAATAACCTATTAGTATTACTAAAAAGCTAACACCAAGGCCTAGTCGATTTCAATGTTTGTGTAAAAACAGCTGAATTCATGGAATGCAATTTTTAAAACACTGATTTAAAACCCTCTTGTCATCAAATCTTTGTGTTAGGCTTGGGAAATGCAAGTCAGATCATTTCCCAACTTCAGAAACAAACCTGCCACCTCTCTCCATACCTGCCCAATTAAGTCTCCTGGAGACACGGACAGTTAATGTTCAGGTTTTCTGAGTCCCTAAGCAGCTTCAGAGAAGTGCAAATTAATTTGAATCCCCACCTCAGTTCACTGAGACATCAGCCCTGCTCCCCAACATAGTCCTCCATGCACACCTTGCATCTTCCATGCTCACCCATATGCCCATGCTGTGTCATAGTTCCATGTCCCTCTTATTCCCCATGCAGCCACCAGGGCCCCTCATAAACTGATGCCCCATTACACTCCTAATGCACCTCTATAGACAGGCCCTCTCCCTACATACACACATAGGCACACATAATCTCCATTACAGCTCAACAAACATAAAGTCTTTAGATGCAGAGGAGAAAGGTACATTTCCTATAGTCTGACAGAAAGCTTGTCACACAGCTTAACATGTTAAAACTGTCAATAAAACTGTGAACACAGTCCCTGCTAAGTTGCTCTTTAATTTTGAAACATAGCAAGGCATTTATAATGTCCCCAGCTATCGAATGAAACCATTACAGCTCCAGACAATGAGTCCTATTGAAACTGTAAGAGCAGACGGCCCTGTTATTTTTCCCAAAACAACACCAGATGGCCTGACAATCAATGTAGTCCAGAATTAAAGCTTTTTCTCTCCAAGTGAAAACTTCAGGTCTGTTGTTTTATTCAAACTTAAAGATCTGTGGACACTTAAACTGCGTCAGATCATAACAGTGAAGTTTGAAACAATATTTTCTGCAATTTTCATTTGAATGTATAATAACAACTTTTCCCAATCAATAAAGCACCCCTGTGCATCTCAACATTTATAATATGTTGCTCAAAGTAGCGACCAATTTACTTTTGCTGGTTAGAGCCCTATAATCAATCAGCTAATTTATCAAACAACACCTGATAATAACATTTGCGTCATTTGAAACTGTCAATCCATCCAACACTTACACTTCAAAATTTACAGTTCCTCAGCATGCTCCAAGGCTCCTAGACTGTTAAACAAGGCTGTCAGATTCCTTCCAAAATCCCCCTAACCTTAGGAAGATACTGATAAACATAAAAACACATTTCCCCTTTGGCTGTAGGTGGTGACCCATGTGACTGGATGTGCCTTTGGTATCACAACCCAACCCAAGGCAGTCTTGACCTATATGAAGAAGACATTGGACTGGGAAAGCACAGAAATTCAAAATCTCAATGAGAGAAACAATATTTTTGCCATTCCTAACCACTCCCATCTCCAGGATGGAATGTATAGCCCTTGAATCAAGTTCAGAGATGGATTGGGGCACAGTGACCAGGCGAAAGGGTGTTAGGTGGAGATTCTGCTGGTTTCCTATTGCCCCAGATTAAACCTAAGCAGAAGGCTTACACTAAGAGGCCAACTAAAGATTCCAAATGGACAATGAAGCATCTCATCCCACTACCACAGGCAAACAACCAACATCAAGCAGGGGACTTGTCGATGTGGACACAGTCCAGGAAATCCTGAGAGACTTTCTGAGATCTTCTTGGGTGTCCCTCATTCAAAGGCTCTGTGTGCCTGAGTGAGGGAGCTAGCATTAGGAGGAAGGGGCCTGCAGGAAGCCACTGTGCTGCTCTGTCAACTACCTTCCACTCCATCTGGTTGAGTGCCATTCCTCCCATCCCACCCATACTTATCAGTCTTTAAAGGATCCATTGTCAATGGCCTGGATTCTGATAGGCTGATAATTCTCAGGTTTGGACTGTCCAAAGTAGAAAGTGCAAAGCTCTGCACATTTCCTGATGCATTTTGGGACCCTTATTCTGTTGGGACTCTGTTTGGGTTTATAGAATGCCACCAGGTCTTATTGCCGATGATATACTGCCCCATCCCACTACATCCACAGTAAATTCCATTTTATAAACCAATGACCTTGTTCATAGAAAACACAAGTCCTTTTGTATGTTATAAGCAAGACCATATTTTTCAATTTTCAAAATGGAATCATATAATCCAAAACAAGAATGGAAATTGTATGAATTTAAATTATTAAGTATGAAATTTGTCTTCATTTAGTTGAGAAACAGGCTAGGATTGGATTAACCACCCCTGATGTATTATTGCTTCTGATTTTATTTTCTCAATCCAAAGGATTTACAACACAGAAGCAGGCCATTTGACTCAACTGATCCATGTTGGTGGTTATATTGCTTGTTTGCATCCTCATAATGCTCTCCGTTAAATCCAAGCAGCATAACCTCTTTCTCTCATGTTTATCGAACATCCCTTGAATACATTTATATGTTTCACCCCAACTCTTCATTATGAGAGCAAATTCCACATTCTTATCACTCTCTGGATAAGGAAGTTTCTCTTGAATCCTAACTCAGATTTCTGAGATTCATGTTCTGATCCTTAGCTTTGGTCACCGCCCTTCACATCTACCTTATAAAATCCTCTGGTGATTTTATAAACCTCTATCAGGTCACTCACAATGAAGAAAATAGCGCATCTATAATGGGCTGAGTCTATTACTGCCTGATGTGTATCACTGCTAGAGTTGCATTTCAGCCCCCCCGACTGAAATAACTCCAGAGGCTGGTATCCCGTCACCAAGTCAGCCTTTATTTACACATGCATTGTACTTGAGACTGGTCCAGCTTCCTCAGAACCAGCTCTCAGAGTAAACAGAACCTCTGACATCCCTGTTTATATCTGTCAGCCAGGGCTCCCTGGTTGAACCAGATTAATACCCCAATCAGGGAGCTTATATTCTATGAAATCCATCTGACCGACCTTATTACAATCACTACACCCACAATCACGAAACCAGTGGCTGCTCAATACTGGGTAAATTTGCTTAACCTATGGATTTGAGGTATGGAAAAAAAATCAGAAAATTTTACACTAGCTGCTGGTAATTAACATGCTTCAGAACTAGTTTAGATAGTCAACTGGTTTTGTACTCAAACTGATTCTGGAATCAGTTCAATGTAAGGAAGGCACATTCTTTAGTTTATTGTGCCTTTAATGATTTTGACATTTAGTAAGCACTAAATCAAAATTTCAGTTTTCATTTTGGATAAATACAATAGCCTCAATTTGCACACCCACATTCAGACTCCAGAAAAGTTTCTTAGGTTGCAGTTATTGTAATTTGAGAAATGTTAATGCCCACATTTCCTGAAAATGTTCTAATGAAAGGTCACAATCTGAAACACCAACTCTGTTTCTGTCCGCACAGAAGCTGAGTATTCTCTGTTTTTATTTCAGATTTCCAGCATCCAGTTTTGATTTTGGACTAGTCTAAGAACTAAACTAATCTGTTCTAATTAACTTGAAACGATGCATTGGATCAGACCTCGCTGGAGGCAAAAAGTATTATCTTGGTGCATTTATGTCAAAGCAGCAAATTACATGGAAAAAAAATCCAGCAATTTATAATAAATGTCACTTACATAATGCATGGTTTCCTGACGCTCTTACAGCATAATCAATCCACTGATGAAACTTAGACTCAAATAGTCCTAAAATAATTTTAACAGTGGAATGCTGCTTTTTAATGAACATTAGCTGCCTCTTGATCTCTGCATACATTCGAACTTATTTTATAAGAAGAGGTTATTTGATTAGCAAACTAAAATATACTTTGTCATAGAAAAATAGTTGGGTAAAAATCTTACAGAATAAGAATCAGACAGCTAAGGACTTCTCATTTTTAATTTGTATCAAATTTTAACTTGTTCTTTGGTGCCCAGAAATTACAGACTGTGTTCTTGAAGATTCAGTGACTTTTTTTTATTGTAGTGTTTTCTTTTTAATCCAAGTAATGGGAAATTATGTTACTGATTTGTTATTTGCCTTTATCACTTTTCAGGGCTTTCTCAAGACACCTCCTGATAATAACTACAATTATTAAATGACTTGGGAAAAGTATCAGCCACAAGAATGAAAGGGTTATCAAGCAACCGAGGACACCATATTGTAACCAATTGTGACCCTTCGTGTGATACATTGTCCCACCAACAGGAAAGGAAGCCATACATACTCAATCCAGTTGACTCCCAGCATGACGATCATTCCTATTGCACCCAGCGGAACTCCTTTCATTCAGAGTGCATGGTTCCGTTCAGTGATCAAATATCAAGTAGTACTTTTCCCAGAAGACATTACAGTTCACAGCATGACCTTAAGGACGAATGTGGCCTGGTGCCTGCACCTTCAACCAATAAAATCAATCGCATCCCTGCCAACCTCCTGGACCAATTCGAGAGGCAACTCCCAATCCGCCGTGATGGGTTCCACACCTTACAATATAAGCGGACAGCCCTGGAACACCGGAGTGAAAGTCCAGGAAGAATCCGCCACCTGGTTCACTCAGTGCAAAAGCTGTTTACCAAGTCACATTCTCTTGAAGGACCTTCCAAAGGAAATACAAATGGTAATAAAGCAGGTCATGATGAAGTGCATGGTACAAAACGTGGCAAGCGCAGCAAGAGCAAAGATAGGAAGTCAGAACCGAAGAACAAATCTAATATTTCAGGGTGGTGGAGCTCAGAAGATAACTTGGATGGTGATGTATGCATTTATCATGGGCCAACAAACGTGATGACCATGGGTCGATGTCCTGACCGTTCAACATCTCAGTACTTCATGGAAGCTTATAATACTATCAGTGAACAGACGTTAAAAACTTCCAGAAGCAATAATGACATGAAATGCACGACTTGTGTAAATATCCCACTGAATGTTGATGCACAAATCATGAAGAAGAGCTCGTGGTCTTCAACATTAACAGTGAGCCGAGCCCATGAGGTTTATCAGAAATCCTCAATGAATCTTGATAATAAAACCGTCATGAAATCAGAAACGTGCCAGAAAGAGCGTTCATGCCAGTATCTCCAGGTATGCATCCAATGTGTAGCAATGTCAAAGCGTATTGCTGCTGCAAATATTGTTTACAAGTTAATAGTATGTTTACATAATATATGCAAATGATCTGTGGACTGTATTGGAAACAACAAAACATTATTAGCACACTAAAACAAGAAAGATTCAGCTTCCGATTTATTACACTGGAAAGAAAAATTTCTTTAAGGGGTAACACAGTGTGGAGCTGCAGGAACACAGCAGGCCAGGCAGCATCAGAGGAGCAGGAAAGTTGATGTTTCAGGTCGGGACCCTTCTTCAGAAATGGGGGAGGGGGAAGGGAGCTCCGAAATAAATACAGAAAGGAGGGGTGGAGCTGGGGAAGGTAGGTGGGATGGTGATGGGTGAGTGCACATGGGAAGTGGCGGGGATTGGTCAGCTCCACACTATATTATCTTTGATTCCAGTATCAGCAGTTCTTACAATCTCTGAGTTTCTTTAAGGGGCACTGGTTTCACAAAAGGACCAAAGGAGCTTCTTTAGATGTATAAAAAGCAAGAGTGGGGTCAAAGGGAATAAAGGCCCATTAGACCATGAAGCTAAGGTAACAATAAGGGGGAACCAGGACATAGTTGAATAAATAGGTAAAATAAATAAGTTAAATAAATCCTTTGAATCAGTATTCAAAGTAGAAGACATGAATAGCATTCCAAATATACTAAATAATCAAGGGGCTAAAAGGTGGGGCCGGTGGAGAAAAATTAACAGAATAACTATCACTAGAGAAAATAAACTAGGGAAAAGAACGGTGCTAAAAGCTATTATGTCCCCTGGGCCTGGTGGGATACATCTTAGAATGTAAAAGAAATTATTACGGAGAAAATGGGTGCACTCATGGTAATCTTCAAAGTACCCTTAAATCCTGGAATATTACCAAAGGATTGGAAAACCACCTTTATTCACAAAAGGGAAAGAGATCAAAAACAGATAACTATAGGCCAGTTAGCTTAACATCTGTTGTTGGGAAAATGTTCGAGTGAATTATAAAGGCTGTAATAGCAAAATATTTAGAGATATATCATAAAATCAAGCAGAGTCAACAATGGCTTTATGAATCATGCTTGACAATTTTAGTAGAATCCTTTGAAGAGGTAACAAGGAGAACATATAAAGGTGAAGCAGAAGAGGTGATATATTTGGATTTCTAGAAAGCATTAATTGTGGGACCACACATTAGGCTACTTAATAAGGTGAAAGCCATATTAGCATGGATAGAGGATTGGCTAACTAGTAGAAGGTAAAGAGTTGGGACAAGGGGAGGCATTTTCAGGATGGTAACCTGTGACTAGTGGAGAGCCACAGGGATATAATATAATAGCAAAGCATTCAGAAATACATAATAAAATCGAGCAGAGTCATTGTGACTTCAAGAAGGGGAAATGATACCTAACAATATTATTATAATTCTTTGAGGAGGTAACAAACAGGATAGGTAAAGTGGAACCAATAGATATGAACACTCAAATAAAAATAAATACTGCAGATGCTAGAAATCTGATAGAAGCACAGAAAATGCTGGAGAAACTCAACACATCTGGCAGCATCCATGGAGAGAGAAGAACAGAGTTCACGTTTTAAGTGTGAGATGACTCTTCTTCAAAACTGACCATCCTAAAGAAATCATCCTTTTTAGATGGCATTGGAAGTAGTCAAGAGAAGGTTCATGAGGTTGATTCCAAACACGGAGGTTTTCTTTGATGAGAAGAGGTTGAATAGGCCGTGGTTATACTCATTGGAGTTGTGAAGAATGAGATGAGACCCCTTACTGAAACATATAAAATTCTTAGAGGGCTTGCTAAAGTAGATGAGGAGAGGTTATTTCCTAACTAAAAACTGAAAGAACTATGGATGCTGTAAATCAAAAACAAAAGTAGAAATTTGTGGAAAAGCTTAGCAGGTCTGGGCAGCATCTGTGGGGAGAAATTCAGAGATTATGAGTTTTTTTTCATTCAGAGGAAGTGAATCTATGGAATTCTTTACCACAGAGTGCTGTCAAGGCTACATTTATTCAAGGCTGAGATAAACAGAATTTTAATCAGTAAAACTTCAAGGGTTATGGGGAAAGAAGGCAAGAAAATGCAGTTAAGTATTATCAGATCAGCCATTCTCTCCTTTTGTGGCAGAGCAGACTTGATGGGTTGAATGGCCACTTCTGTACCTACATCCTGTCTTATGGTCTCACCCACACAATTCAACTTTAGAGACAGGCCTTCCTGACTCACACAGTAATTTTACTATACCTCTGGAATACACCTGACGTTACATGCTGCATTGGAAATTCCACAGCCTTTGCTTTTATTGCAAGTCTTTTAACTATTTTCCTTATACTAGATTTCACTAGCTTTATTTCCAGCCAGAAATGCCAGACTAACAAGGCTGTGGTTCAGAGGGTTATGTTTCTGATAATTTAAAGACCAAAGTTACCAAACTTGTGCCGTACGGCCTTTGCAAAATTTCCTAAATGGATTCCTCACAGAGATCCTCATTCTTGAGAACAGCACTTCATTTAACTTCTTCATGAAACTTTGTCACACAGTGACTGGTTAGAGTATAGGATGAATTGTCTAGAAATGAGGTAGAGGAAGGCAGAATTGAAGCAGTCAAGAGGAAATTGGATGATTTTTCAAATTGAAATAACGTCCAGGATTAGAGGGAAAAGGGAGTGATTGGCTCGAAGTTAAATTGCTCACAGTCAGTACAGACGCGAAGGGCTGAGTGGCCTCCTTCTACGTTATACGTAACAATTCTGCGATTGTGATGCTGCACTTTGCTACTAATGATAATTTCATAATGACTCACTGTCTCACACCACTTCATTTAGCTGCTTAGAAACACTATCAAGGCAGTTTGTGAAAATTGTTCTGAAATAAATTCCCTTTAATCAGAAATATGTTTTACTCTTCTACATTAGTTTACCCGTTTCATCCATTGGTTCTTTTGCACATTTCTTCTTGTAATGTATTGTAATAACTTCATATTGATGGAAACCATTGGTGACTGAATAACAAGTACATCCAAAAGCTTTTGCTTTTCCACTTTAACTAAGTCATTTCAGCATTGGTTGTACTTCTGCAGAGTTGCATTTAGCATAATCCCATAATACACCAGATTATCTTGAATGATGTACTGCATTAGCAGTTTCCTACATTTATCTAGATTAAGGTCTATCTGCCATTTCTGAGCCCATCTTCCAAATTGACCTAATTCTTAATATTTCAGGACTCCTTATTAATTCTGACTTGCGACATATACTATCTCATCAACAAATTTTGCAATGTTCTAAGCTGTCGCCTCTAATTAAGTTATGAATAGAAAGAATAACAAGGGATTTATAACTGGATGCATCCAACAGTGATCTGCAATGGTTGCCTAGTCACTGCCTCTAGCAGTTTTCTTCCCGATTCTCTTTCTTTTCTGTTTCCAATTGTTAAAACAATTCTCAAACAAGTTTTAAATTAACATAATTCCATTAATCTGAACTTTGTACACAAATCTTGTGAAAATGTATTAAATCCTATCCGAAAATTCAAGTAAATTATATCCTCTATATTTCCCTATTGTCATTGAAAAGGTATAATAAGTAAATTATACCCCATAATTTAATGTCAATGTTCTCCATAATGGCACATCAGTGTACAAGTCATTCTGCAAAAGCGGTTGCTTTCTGTACTTCCTTCTTTAGTTCAAAAGTGAAAATAATAGAAAATCTAAATGTTCACCACCAGCCTAAAATATAAATGAAATGTGTCTTTGCTGACGAAATACATTAATTTAATAAACAGAGCATTGCACTAGAAAAGCTCCAACATAATGAAGTGGGAAGCTCTGCTTCTTTTCCTACAAATTAGCTGAACACATTTCACATTCACATTAAAACATCGGTCACTTGCAAACTGGATTTCATGATCGAGTTTGGTTTGGTGTAGAATGAAAAATAAATGCAAGCACAACCACAAAAATTAATAGAACCAGCCTTTGCAGCTTTTCATGGAAGACTGATGTTCCTAACTAGATTATTATATATCCGACTGCTCTTTATTGCTGATGTTCATCACTTGTGTTGTGGGATCTCATGGTCTGCTTTTCAGTGACCCACTGAATCTCATCATGAGTCCCTTTTGTGTTTTTCTCCCTTAATTCCGTACTACAGAATTGGACATAATTTTACGTACTTTGCATGACAGCTCTGCTTAAGTAGCAACAATGGCATTCCACTCAACAATATCTTTAAAGTATGTATGCCATAAAATTTATGTCCCACCGATAAATAGTGTGCATTTGTGTTGGAAATATCAGAATACGTATAAAACTGTTCCAGTGTAGGACTTTTTAAAAGCCTTCTCTTAGTTATTCCTACTCCTGTCAAAATCTATGTGCGGAGTCTTATAGGAGCTTGAGCATAGAGTCATAGAGTCATGCAGCACAGAAATGGACCCTTCAGTCCAAGCGATCCATGCCGATCATAATCACAATTTAAATTATTCCCACCTGCCTGCACTTGGCCCATATTCTTCCAAATATTTCTTATTCATGTACCTATCTAAACGTCTTTTAAATATTGTTACTGTACCCATATCCACCACTTTCTCAACTTCCTACACTTCAGTGAAAAAAGTCCCAGCCTATCCAGTCTCTCCTTATAATGCAAACCATCCAATCCTGATAACAAGGTGTGGACTGGATGAACACAACAGCCCAGCAGACCCTTCTTCAGAGTCCAGACCCGAAACGTCAGCTTTTCTGCTCCTCTGATGCTGCCTGGCCTGCTGTGTTCATCCAGCTCCACACCTTGTTATCTCAGACTCCAGCATCGGCAGTTCCTACTATCTCAATCCTGATAGCATCCTGATAAATCTCTTCTGAACTCTCTCAAACTTAGTAATATCCTTCCTATAACAGAGCAACCAGAATTGCACACAGTACTCCAAACCTCCAACGTCTTGCACAAACTCAACATAACATCCCAACTCCTATAC